GTCTCTCACTTCCTAACTTGAAAAAGACTTGGGTTATAATCAGCTTCTTTTAGCTGAGTTGGGGTTTTTATGTGTGTTTATTTGTGGAATTTGCTTCCTTTCTGTGGCTAGTGGAACTCCGTACTGGCTAACAGTGTCCATATTAAATGAAGTGTTTGTATTAAATGTACAAGCAGAATTTACACTGCTTCAAATATCAAAGCACCGGATTCCTGGGGCAAGAGATGGACTTAGAACAGGAGCAGGCAATTATTTTGGGTGGAGGGCCGCTTACTGAGTTTTGGAAAGCTGTCGAGGGCTGGATGGGTAGCCCCACCCCTTGACAGGTGCCCTGCCCCCTGGTCACCATCGTGTAACTGGAAGTCCCGCCCCCTAGCCCCTGACCTTTGCCACCAGAAGTCCCTCCCCTTGCCCTCAGAAATACTCCTTTCAGCAAGGGGTTTTGCCATCTCAGAACCAGAAAAATACCAAATTATATTCTAAAAACTGAAATCTACATTAATTAATTTGATTTAAAAAATATTTTTGTCCTAGTTTTCATGTGTTTGTGTAGTGTACATAGAGGTGATTGCACAATAGCTTAAAATGAAGTCTTACTCCTGTATATTGTGGGGGTGGTGAGGGGCATGGGAATAGGTTTGTGGGGGGGCAGTTAGTGTGTGGGTATGTGTGGTGTGGAGGAGGGTGTGGGTGTGAGTGTGGGGTGAGGGAGCATGTGGGTGTGTGTGTGGATATGTGGGGTGTGGGGTTTCTGGGGAGCTGTGTGTGGGGGAGGATGTAAGGGGCGTGGGTGTTGGTGTCTGCATGTGTATGATGGGATGTGTGTGTAGGACTCACCCTGTGAACACACACAGACACATAAACATGTACACACATTTTCTATCTCCCTCCCTCACTGCTCACAAACATAAGTGCGCGCACGCACATGCACACAGTCTTTCCCTCTCCCCCTTCCCCCCTACACACACAGAGTCTCTCCCTCCCTCATTGTTCTGTCTCTCTCTCCCTCTCCCTCATTGCACGGACACACACGCACACATGCACACGCCCTCCCTTCCGCTCCTGGCCATGGGGTACTGGCATGGCCCCATGCTCCCATGGTCCAGCCATGCAGCCACATGGTGCTGGAGCAGCCCAAAAGCTGTGGCAGGCAGAGACTTCAGGATGGGGGGTGAGGGTTGGGGGGCAGGGCCAGGCTGGCTTTGTTGCTGGCTCTTGCCAGTTCCCCCTGGGTCCTCCTTCCCCTGGGTCCTGTCATCTTTGACAGGCAGCCAGGAGCAGATAAAAATATATTTTCTAAATATTTTACGGGCCCCGCAGGCCAGATAGAATGGCCTGGCAGACCAGACTTTCCCAGTGGGCCATATTTTGCCCACCCCTGATTTAGAACATCCAAGGCCAGGTTTGCACTAGAGAACAGACGCATTCAAACAGAACTGGTTTAAGTGTAAATGGCTTGGTATTTCCTTTTCAATTCACATTCTGAATAAATGTGTCCACATTAGCACACTTCCAATGTGGTATCCTCCCCAGCTACCTTTCCTGTAGTCTGTGACAATTCCTAGAGTAGTGAATTGTAGGAAATATTTAAAAAGTTACAGGTGTACTGTGAGTGTGTGGGCTGAGCCCTTGTCATTAGGGCAGTAGCGTCCCTCTATGTTGGCTCTATAACATTTTGTTTTGAAATAGTCTTTAGATTGACTAAAAGGAAGTTTAATCCAAATGGTCTTGGAACTTCTGTACACCATTTGGAATGTGTATGTGCAGATGTGAGGCATTTTACAAGCCTGCTGGAGGGAGAGTGGGGTGACAGTTCTTTGAAGCAGTAAAATCATCTGACGTAGGCCTAAAAAGACAGGGACTTTGCTGGATCAAGAAGAGATGTGAATTCCTGAGCCAAAGGCCCTCCTCAGACAGCGTTGCCACCAGCCGCTGCAAAAATGTAAATACCCTCCAGTCCAGATGTTGTAGACATATGTAATGATAACAGCCTAAATTTTAGCCAGCATGAGCCCACTTATATGGAATTGTAGGTGCACTTCCAATAGCATTTAAAAATACAACACCGCATATAGTCCTCCTTATGGGTTCATTTATTTCATCTCTTAAGTCAGCTGTTTTGGTTGGAGCTGACAAGCATGTGAGCTAAGAGTACACGTGTTGCTTTTCATAGTGCCTTCTGAAAGTTCTGGCGAAAACCAGGGTGCAAGCCTTTATAGATGTAAGAGCTAGCTCTATGCTGTTTTACTCTGTTGTATTTGCATCAGATTTTCAAATCTGCTCACAGGCAACAGTTCCCATTGGCACTAAATAGGAACTGATCTCACTTTATAATCCAGCCACTTTTTCCGATATCTATATGGGAGCTCTTGCAAGCTGGGTTCTTTTGTTGTTCTGGTCTATGTACGTGCGTCTGAGCAGCTGTCTCCCCAGGAATCGGCTGACAGGATTCTGTACTAATTTCTGCACACCAGCAAACTAGATTGCACAGTTATGAGACCTGTCATTGGTAATTATCACTAGGATTGTGCTGAAGAGCAGCTCCTTCTCTCATTGTAGGTTATGGAAGAACTAAAGACTTCAACAGGAAAGGCTTGGGGTTTTGTAAGGCTACTTGTAGCAATTTTCCTCTTCAAATCACTTCGTACTCACTAACCCATGCAACCCACCAAAAGTAGGTGCTTAACAGGGGTGTGTGAAAAGGGCCCGAATCAGATTCAGCCCAAATCGGGGACAGTGATTTGATTTGTTGATTCGGATCACTGTCTCTGATTTGATTTGACTGAATCCAGATCTGAAGATTCAATGTGATTCAGACATAGACAGTTTTAAATGTTTTTTCTACATACCTTGAGTTACCAGTGCAGCTTATGAACACTGCGATGCTGGGGCAGATGGAGCGTCCCACAGGAGCTCAGGGGGGCCACCAGCGTGCTCAGTGGTGAACCTGGAAGTGGACTGGAAGTACTTCCAATCCACTTCCAGGTGCGCCAGGGAGTGCACAGGGGGCCCCCTGCACCCACCTGGCTTGGCAATCAGCCATGGGGGGACCCTGGGTGCCCCCCCCCCCGACCCAGGAGGCACCAGTCACCAAGCTAGGGAGGGGGGTGTGTGCAGGGTGGGGGGGTGGGCCTCTGGTGCACTCCCCAGCGGGAGTGCTTCTGGTCCACTTCTAGGTCAGCTGCCAAGCGTGCCAGGGACAGCCCCCCGTGCTTCTGTGGGACACTCCATGCACCCCAGCATCACAGCATTCATGAGCCACCTGGTACCTTAAGATATGTAGAAAAAACATTTAAACCTGTGTCTATGTCCAAATCGCCGAATCTTTCTGAATCTCTCCGAATCAATTCAGGGGGTTCTGATTTGATTCAGAGAGATTAAAGGGTCCTCTGATTCGATTCGGATTCAGAGATTCGGCCACCGAATTGGGCTGAATCTCTATCAAATCGAATCAGGGACCGAAGCTTTGCACAGCCCTAGTGCTTAGTAACAATGTACTCTCATTTCTGTTTGACTGGTGGGAAAACTGAGGCAGAAGAGTTGACTGCCCAAAGACCCACATCAGAACTGGAATTAGAATACAGGGGAAATAGGGTACAGGTTAGAATAAAGGAGCATTCAGGCCCATACCCTTTCTGTTAATTGTACTGCCCCTTCTCTTGTAATGGAATATTTATTTAATTTTTGAAGAAATGTAGAGGAAATTGCTAGGAAGGGGAAGTGTTTTGGGGAACTTGTTTCCCCTGTAACATTCCTTAGTTAAAGGTATAAACCCTGCTGATTGTGAAATCTATGTGCACAGACATGAAGAGGCTAAAAGTTTCTGGAGGCCAACTAGCTGTTGTTTCAAAACATGCCTATTTCACCCTGCAGAGAGTTGTAAGTTTATATCCCATTCTGTTAACACAAATCTAACAATGGTTACTCATACATTTGTGACCTGCAGACTCATATTATTTCTGAAGGAAGCTTAAAAAAAGTAGCAAAGCTTGATCCAAAATGTCACAGCCCATGTGCTCAACAACACAAATTATTGGGGACACATCACCCCAGGCTCAGTGCAGTGTGATTGCCTCCCATTGCATATGGAATCCTATTCAAGATCAGTTCCTTGTAAGCTGAGCATTCTCTGTTTTTGATAAAACTAGTAGGTAGCCATGAGAAGTGTAAAATAGAAACTCGAAGACTAGGAGGCAAATAAAAAGGTAGCTAACTGAGAATATAAGACCATTAGTATAACATGAATGATCTCCTGTGTTACTGTGAAGGGATATGTAGAATGACAGCAGCACACTTCCAGACAGAGTAGAACTCTAGGAGGCCTATCTTTCACTGTTATTAGAGGAAGACAGAATCAGATAACAGTGACAGCAGAAGGTCTTCATGAGAAGATACTGCATTAAATGCTGCATTAAATGCAAGAGCTATGCTAATGCAACCTTTTGGTTGAGATTTAAATGCTCAGGCCAAGAATTTGAGCTTTATAATTCAAACAGCAGTCTAGTCTCTGGGGCTGAAGGCATCCTTGGCATACAGTAATTCCACTGAAATCAGCAGCATTACAGCGCAGACTTAAATTGGCTCAGAGAGTATCTGGCATTACTAGATATAGTGTTAAAGTTAACTTTCATGCACAGTGTGGCTGACTTACTGTTGCTATAACCTTGACATTCTGTACTTACATGTGTTTAAAATCTCAAGCCAGAATTATATTCCCATTAGTTTGTACATTTAATTTTTTGGTCTATTTTTAGAAAGGACTGGGGGAGAAACTTGAACAATAAAGGAAAAGCAAAGTATTGGTCTGTACATTCTTATTCAAATGTACAATTATGAAGTTAATCTAATAGTTTTCATAGTTCTTATTTAGGTCTGTGTAGAATTTATTAACTCTTTTATGTCTGCATTGAATCTCCCTGTCAGTAGTTAGTTTGCATCCTTCTAGTTAGTGCAAATTTTTGATATTATGTGTTAAAACATATAAGACTTCTTTCTGCAAGAGGCTGAGAACATCCTGGAAGGAGCTGAACTTCTGCACCTCTGTTGTCTTCCAAGGAAGTGGAGGATACTCAGGCTGGGGACAGATATTCAAAAAGCCCAAGCCTGAATTGATTAAATCTTTGCAGGTTAGTCTAACCTGCAGAGATTGAACTGATTTGCAAGTGGATAGACATTCACTTTTGATTCAGGAAATGCATTCACATGCCTGCAGTGGCTCAGGCTAGAAGCTGGGGGGTGCTAGAGTGATCCCTCCTTTCCTTTCCACAGTGCTGAGCTCGGGGGGTGGGGGCATGACCAGGCCCCGGCAGGGCACTATGATTAAACCCCCACCCTGGCCTGGACAGTCCCCAGCCACTTTGTACCTGAAGGGGGAGGGGGAAGCAGCCCTTGCCAGACCATTTCCCGCTCGCTGCTCAAGGGGCAGGGAGTGTTGCCAGACCTTGGCCCCCGGCTAGCACTCTGAGGCAAACGGGGGGAAGAGAGGATTGCTTGCATGCAGTGCATGCATCTGTTGATGATACTGAGCTTTTTAATCTCCCTTTCCTTGCTTCTTCATATTGTCTGCAGCAAACTGACAGCACTCATAGGCTCCATGTGTTGCAAACCAGATCATTTCTCACACCTGTCTCTGTCCCCTGTTGAACACTGACAGATTGCAGCCTTTGAAGCAAGCAAGCCAGCAGCCAGCAGGAAACTTATCAGAACACAAAGAAAACAAAAGCTTCTCTCTCATTGTCTCAAGCTCTTCTTAAACAGCTTTTTCCAAGGCATTTGTAAGGAAGAACAGGGGGGACATTACCAGCTGACCTGTTGATTAGTTCCCAAAAGCCCTAAGCGAACACTGTTCTGTTTGCCTTTCTTCCAGTGAAATTGGAGACGTACATACGCAGGCATCTCTCAGCATTAGCTAGCATGGGAGTGGCATGGCCAAATGCCAGCTAGGGTCCATGCCACTGGGGTCCCTGCTGTGGGAGAGGTGGGATCCTTGTTTGAGCAGTGAGCAAGGGGAGGGTGGGGCAGGGGGAAACCAGGAAGACACTGCTGTGCCTGCAGTCTCCACCCCTTTCTCAGCCAGCTGGAGCTGTGGCTGCGGGGAGATGGACAAGTCCAGCCCTGCTCTCTGGAGCAGACAGCCAAGCCCAGCCCAGGGTTGAAAAGCATGCTGGTATGTTGGGGGACTCTGATTTAACTTAAAGTAGGAAGGGGTTTGGGACAGAAGTTCCATAAACCAGTTTGACCCAAATCAAGTTAAGTCTGAAATTACATTCAACCAGGTTTATCTTAAATCGGTTTCAGTCATTTTGAAACTGGTTTATGTGCAACAAACTTATGTTCTGTTACAGGCTTAAACCAGTTTCTGATCACAAATTGGTTTATGTATAATTTCTGTCCCTGGCCTCGGTATTCTAAGACATTGGGTTTAGGGAATAACCTTAAGTTTCTCTGAAGGGTTGTGATGTAGCCTTTCTGTAAATACTTTTCCAAATGGAACTCGAAGTATGCAAGTCTGGTCAGTATATTTTGTAATCTGAAGAAGGAAAAATCGTATCAATCATATAGTTACAAATTGTTTGTAGACAAATCAATGTTTCTCAACTGGGGTGCTACAGCACTCCAGGGTACCATGACACCTTGAAGTCCTGGGAGAACCTTTTTTAGGGTGTTTTTCAATATTAGCACTGTTAAGTTTGCAAACACTTGTATATGTTTCCCAAGGTCAGCCTAGATTAGAATCCACAGTGTCAAAAATATGTTAACCTGTTGTGGTCTTTCTGAGATCTTTACAATAGAAAAATTGCTCTATTGTTTTTCCAGAGTCAAAAAAGAGTGAAAACTGGCATTTTCAATGGGTTCCTTAAGTTTAACAAGGTTGGCAACCACTGTGATGCACTGAACCATTGGTCTATTTTCACTAGTCTGTGTTGGTACAGTGATTTGGACTGTCATAGAAAGAAAGACGCCATCATGCTTGACTTTGAGCCACCAACAATATAGATTAAAGTTTGCATGGGGAAGAGGGAGGACGTAAGAAATAATGCTTAGCAATATTATGTTAATTTTACTGCTGAAATATTTTCCCTCCAAGATCAAGTTTTAATACTTTCTTCCTCTTCCTCTTACAGGCAGAAATGGTATGTGCTGCTTTCCAAGCACAGAGATCCTTCCTGTTGTTAGCATCTCAGTATCAAGAGCCTCAAGAGGTAAGAAAGTATATTTAATTTTCGTAAGAGGTGACATACTACAACATCTTGCTGCATGTATGTAGAAAAAATTCTTCACTCTGTATTTAGAGGAAATGTGCAATGGTCTGGTGTGAATACTTTATTGGCATGAATTTGTGGTGGGCTTAGTACGCACTAGTGGCAAAACTACAGCTGGCTTTTATGCAGCTCGTGAGTGCTGATATAGCCAAACTATTATTTATGTTGTATGTCAGACATATGATACATTTTCCAAATATTGTCGAGCCTGTCTACACACTGAGTTATTCAGGAATAGCTGTTCCTGAATGACTCCGTCTGTGGACGCTTTAAATCTGGAAGAAAAGTGCCTTCTGAATTGATTTAATCCTTCTTGGAAGATGAAACTAAACCAGAAAAAGACATATTTGTTCCAGAACAAGTCTTCCCATGTGGAGTTGTTCTAGAGTAGCTGTTCTACTTTAAAGTTATATACCACTTTATTCTGGAATAATTTTCATGTGTAGAAAAGACCTTTGATTTTTTTTAACCTTTTACAGTAAAAGCTCTATTATCCAGCATCCCCCAGTAATGGGGGATGCCGGATAACAAAACATGCTGGTTAATTGAGTGGCCCAGGCCGCCACTTCTCTTGCTGAGTCTAGGGCCTCCCACCACCCCTCCCGCCACATCGCTGCCCCTCTCGCGGGTCCTGTGGGACAGGGAGGCAGGCCCCGCGCAGCTCCGCACAGCCTGTTATGCCCCCAGGCAGTGGGGGCTCAGCACAGCAGGCTGCTTTACTCATGGGGGATCGGAGAAACCGGGAGTACCACAGTGGGCACTTCCGGTTTCACTTCATCTCACAAGCTGGCATGCCGGTTAACAGAGCATACCGGCTTGCAAGATGCCGGTTAACAGAACTTTTACTGTATTAGGAGTACTTTTTGCAACCCCTACTATCCCCAGCTATAAAATGCAGTGTGTAAATTCTCTCAAATTCTACTGCTGGAAAATTGGGAAAAGTCATACAAAATGTTAATGTTAACCAAAACCAGTTTTTCCATATCTAAAAGTATCATAATATTAAAGGGAACTTGGGACTTTCTGGGACTGGAAATAAGAGCTGTCTCTCTCCTGGGAAAGCTAAAAATCTATTCTGTTCCATGGAACAAACCTCTTGTATGTGGTTCTAGAGGGATACAAGATATTTTATGTATTGAAAAGTTAACATTGCCCACAGACTAGCTGTTCCTCTGTCTGAGGTCTTGGTTAGACTAATTTTAGGAGAAAAATACTACAGTTTGGGTGTGTCTACATGTTCATTAATGTGCTTTTGTTGCTGTGCATTAAATTTAGTACCTCTAATGTGAGGTACTAAATAAATGGGCATTAGGCTGCCCTAACGAGCAGTGGTGAAAATGCATGCTTTTTTAGTGATGCTTAATGCGCAGTAGCCTGTTTTTACTGCATGTTAGTGTATTAGCATGGTTTTTGGCATGACACTTTTTAATATGCCGTAAAATAGGCTACTGTGCATTAAAGCACATGTGTAGATGCACCCTTTGAGGAGGAGAAGGAGGAAAAGTTTCTTTGTCAGGTTGTTGGGGTTTTTTGTGTTTTTTCGTAATGGCCGCTAGCTGAGTATGTCATCACATATTAGGAGGTTGAGCATGGCGCAGACCTGCAGTTGCTGTGGAAGTCCTTTTGCAGCCTCTGTAAAACATGAGGCTTGGGCTAGTAGTGCTATACATTGTCCAGATGCAATGACTATGTACCCAACCCTCCCATGAGGCCGTCCTCAAAATCTCTTTCATGTGGCATGCAGGGAGTGAGAGTCCATGTGTACAGTCTGTCCTGGGCCTGTGATTTTGACTCCTTGTTTCAGTTTCTTAATCCATAACTCACCAGATTAAATAACCCCTCCATAAAACTCCCAGCTGCTGGGTTGCTTTATTGGGACTACCGTCACTGATATTGATATAGATACAAATAAAAAAAGATATTCTAAGTAGCAATGGCATGGCCACTCATGGGGAACACAAAGCTAAGCCTTGAGACAGACTCTAAGACAGACTTCTAATTTACACAGACCTGAGCAAGGAATGGCTAATGTCTGACTTGGGATTCCATCTGCCCTTTCTCCTAGAGGGCAAAACTGGGTTGTTATTTACTCCCTGAGAACATGCAGATTCCCTAGTAGAGTAGGTCCTCGTGCAATTGTTTGTGGTGCTGATGCATGTAATTGTAGCCAGCCCTGCACAAAGCTGTTTACAATCACGGGTAAATCACCCCTTTTCAATACACAGTTGCTCATTCTTTGGCCCAGAACCCCATTATAGTCTTATGTATTTTTGTTAAATTCCCAGCACCTGTAGCAGTAAAAAAACTGATTATCTGGGAGTGCCTTTGCTTGTCTGGTTAGATGCTTAGATGTCAAGATGATTCTCTGCATTTAGCTGTTTCAGTTTAGGAATAAAAATCCATCTGCAGGGGGCAGTACTGGATATGGGAATTGGGAAGTCAAACAAAAGGTCTGATGTGTTCTCTGGCATGGCATTTGTGCTGAATTAGCTCCCCCAAGGTCAGCTTTACCTTGCTACTAGTTCAGATGTGCTGGTATCTGAACCTTGGAAATATATTGAATGGTTGGGTCCATGGGCAGATCCAGGATTGTGGCATGTGCCCCTCAAATTTGTGGTGTCTGCACAGCTGAGCTCATTGTGGTACCTGCACAGCTTGAGCTCATCTGAAGGGGGCAGGGTGTGGTTGCACCCCACTTGCCCTGATCTTAGATGACTGTGAGTTGTCTGAGCTCACCACCACATCAGTGTAGCTCCTGCCAGAGCCTGCAAATGTCATGAACTCGTGAAAGGGTGTGTGGCTATGCTGTCGTGCCCCCTGGGTTAGCCCCTGGTCAGGTCTGTTGGGGGACTACTGAGATCTTTTATCTGTGTCCTGTTGTTGCAATAGAATAATAAACTGTTCTAGTAATATAACAGCCTTTGTACAAGCCTGGGTTAATTAGCACTCAGAAGGTTCTTCAGACCTGACAAACAAGACTGATACAAATAGTAAAGTAAAGGAGAATTTAACTGGGACAGTCAGTTGATGAAGGGAAATTTAATTTGTCTCTAGCGATAGACATTACACATAAACCAGCTTAAGTGATCAAAAACTGGTTTAAACCTGTAACAGAACAGATATTCAGTGCACATAAACCAGTTTGAAAATGGCTGAAACCGGTTTGAGATAAACCTGGTTGAATCAGACTTCACTGATTTGAGTCAAACTGGTTTATGCAATGTCTGTCCAGACCCCTTCCTGGTTTAAGATAACCCAGACACCCTCAGCATCTGGCATGCTCTCTGGGCTGGGCAGGGCTCTCTGCTCCACAGCAGAGCAGGCCCCTCTCCTCTGCTCCCTGGCCAGAGCTCCATTAGAGACTGCAGACACAGCAGGGTCTGCCTGGCTTCCCCGTGCCCTACCCCCCACCTTGCTGCTTGCTGGACAAGCAGGCATCCCCCTCTCCCTCCCTCCTATCTCCCACAACACAGACCCTAGCCCCATGGACCCTATGCATGTGGTATGCTAGCTAATGCTGAGAGGTGTCTGTGTGTGAGTCTCTCCAATTTCACTGGGGCAGGCAGACAGAACAGTGACCGCTTAGGACTGTTTGGTGCTAATCAACAGGTCAGATGGTAAGCTGTGTAAGAAGAGTTTGAATTAATGGAGAGAGGCCATTGGTTTGCTAATGAGGTGATAAACACTGTCATCAGCTCCCTGCTGGCTTGTTCACCTGTCAGTTTGTTGTACAGAGTATAAAGAAGCAGGGAGGGAGATTGAAAAGCTCCATATCATCAACAGATGCATGCACTGCAACCCCCTCCTTTCCTCCTTCCTGCTAGCAGGAGGCAGGGGTCTGGCAACACTCCCGCCCCTTGAGCAGCAAGTGGGGAAAAGCCTGAGATGCTGCAGGCAGACCTCCCTAATCAGAGGTCATGCTGTGGGCTGGCCATGCCCCCCACTCAGCTCAGTTCTCTGCAAGGGAAGGGAGGGCTGCTCTACCGCTCTCAGGCTTCTAACCTGAGCCACTGCCGGCATGTGTCTGAATTTCCTCAGTCCAGAGGGGATGTCTGTCCAGTTACAAACCAGCTCAGCCTAGCCAGGTTAGACTAATCTGCAAAGATTGAATCAATTTAGGCTCAGTCTTTTTGAATATCTGTCCCTAACCTAGAGGTTTTATTCTGGTCAGCACAGGTGTAGAGTGTTGCATTGGAAATGTAATGCTAACAGTGAGAAACAGGATGCATGCTGCCCTAAAGAATTTACTCCTGCTCAATTCAGAATACTGTTGTGCTGCTGGCAACATTTTTCTTCCTTACTGTAGCAGAAGAGCCCAAGAAGTCTAAAAAAAGACTGGCTTATAACCAAAATAAAATAAAAATAAAAAACTCTGTGGGTTCTTTTTATTTGCCTACTGGTTTCTGAGCCTTTTAAGTTAGGTTTTCAGGCTTTTTCCTGGTAACTGCGAGTACTAGAAGCTTTTGTTTAAAAAATGAAGAAAATTCAGGTTTGCATGTAATCATCCATTCCAGGAGCAGTAACTTTAAGAAAAGCACCAGCAATTAAAACAATTCACAATCAAGGCTCAGAGTTGGCAATACAAGGGCTAGTCTTAATTGCACTTTTGCTGGCATGTTCCAGTCTTGTGTACCTTGCCTTATATACACATATGGGTTAAAAAGAAATACACACACTTGTGTGTGTGTGTGTGTATGTATGTATGTATGTATAATTGTTCATTCTTAGTGTTTCATACACAGTTATTTGCAAAGATTTATACTCAGCTATACTGTGGGCAGACCTGAAAACTGCTGAAGGCTGCTATTTTACATATTTTGATGCAGCTTGTATAGTGTTTTCCAATATAAAGTGTAGTTCCACGTACCATACTTGTTTCTTTCATATCTGCATGTCAGTGATGGGGGAGAAAAAAAACCCTTGTGTTTCTAAAGCCACAG